AGGTGAAGGCCTGCAGCGACTGCAGGGCAGTTAAAAACATGATATGGTGTCAGTTCCACATTAAGACAGTTGCCACAGTTTTGATATTTTCTAGTCTTATCTGTAGAAATTTTCATGTTTTTATGATGTTTTGTTCTTAGTCTGATGAGAGTAGTGGCTGTCTTCCTATCGATGTCAAGATTAGTTATTTGATCGTGGGCTTTGATTTTTAAAGGGGTGAATAGTCTTGACTTTGCAAAAGCATTTGCATCTGCCAACGTGGTTGGGATTGAATTTTGATTTAGATCTCTGGCATTTTTAGCCAAGGAATCAGCTATTTCATTGAACTCTAGGTTCACATGGGCAGGAATCCACTGCAAGAAGCAATTTTTCTGGAGACGCTAAAGTTGTCCAAGTTGTTCTATGATATTCAGGATAAGGCTTGAGGTACCTTTGCTGAGGGCCTGTAAGACAGACCTGCATTTACAAGTTTTAATAACATTATAAGAATAATATTTTTGTCGTGACCATTAAAATAAGATAATACATACGGGGCAACAAAAGATGCGGGAACGATAGATTGGGGTTTGAATTTATCTAAAGTAACTCTTTGGGTTCTTACTTAAGTAAAAGGTGATTTCAACACATTCTTATTAAAAAAGTTTTTTTTTAAATTAAAAATAAATGACAATAGTGAATGGTTATAACCTTCATTGAATTGGCTAGTTGATTTTTCCATATTTATGATGTTGAAAGTATATGGGTAGTTTGCTTTCATTCCAGATACTTCAAAATAAAACCACTGGATATGAGTTTTGGAATTGATGTCTGGATTAAGAATGAGATCATATACTCCTCCACCTTTCTGTAAAACATGAAATTACTTATAAATAAATACACATATTATAAGTATTTCAAAGAAATATATCAAAGGATAAAAAAACAATATTCAATACAATTTTTTTAAAAGAATCATTAAATGATTAATTACTGTAAAAATACAATGTAAGTATAAATATTAGATAAAAAAAAAACTTGTATATGAAAACAAAGTGATTAAAAAACATTGATATATTGAGGAAAAGAATTTTTACACTATTACATTATTACTTTGAAAATGTAGATTTAAAATTTCTAGCATTTTTTTACATAGATAGAATTTTTTTAAAAATTATTTTTCTCAATTATTGGAGAAATTATTCCTATTTAGAATATTTGTAAATACCAATTAATTTTGATACATGTTTCTTTGATGCTAATTATTTTTCTTTGGCACTGGAGCCCAGAAGAGGCCAAGTCTTTCTAAACCATCAGCAACAATTTTTGCCTATCTGGCACTACAGATTTCCAGTTCCTAACAACCAGCAGGCTGTGGTAATTTTAAACATTTTTAAGCTATCTAATGGCTTCCCATTCTCTTTTCCTGACTTCTTAGGACATGCTAAATATGTAAGACAACAGTGAAAGAATAGTCTTCTAAACAGTGTAAGAATCCAAACCATCTAGAACAATAAATTTTAATGATATGTCCTTTCAATTTAATGCAAAGTGTTTGCCAGACATCATTTTCATTCCCAACACTAAACACTTTCCTTAAAGCTTTCCTCTCAAATACCAGCAGCTGCTGCTTTGGTAAGTGACAAACACTCATATGTATCACAGCCACACCAGATTAGTGGCTACATCATAATTTTATAAATAGTGATTTTCGTTGTTTGTTTGAGAAGTTTTGATTTAAGTATTCTTTTTAGCCCACCCTATAAAGCACCTGTTTGCTATCTTAATGCGACTATTGATCGATGCATCTATGCCATTATTTTCATTCACTTAAGTTTCGAGGTATTTAAATTTTGCGACTCTTTTGAACATTAATCATTTATTGCAAGGAATTCAAGATTAGACATTCTTTCAGATATTTCCGAATATTTGGTTTTGGTGTTTCATCGATTGGTAAGCCCATGTCTTTAGCAGCTGTCTCAAGAACAATATCAAGAAAACAAATGTTTTAATGAACTGTTTTGGTTTGCCTACGATGTTAATGTTCTCACATATGCCTTCAAAGAACATCAAAACTAACAACAAGAAATAAGTACTTTATCACTGTTGAACAGAAGGCCACGGGTTTGATTTTTCCTCCCCTAATATCATTCCTAAATGCGTTTCATGCATTGATCTGGAGGTCTGGAAGAGTTTCCACATCATCATTTATTTTATTTTAAGACGTGTAGGGCAATTATATTTTCAAATTTCAAATTAGTTAAAAAAAAAACTTTAAATTTACAACATACTGAAAAAAATGTATGATGTAAGTAAATTTGAAATTAAAACTATATGATATACAGCATAAATGAAAGCATTGGGATAGTTTCCATATACATATATATAAATTATCTAAGAAGTTATTATGATTAAGACAATTGTACGGTCATCTCACCCAAAAAACTTTGCGAAGATTTCCACTTTCAAATCTTGACTCGAACTGCAAATATTCTGATTGCTGATCACAGTGAATTCTGAAATTTAAAACATTAATAGAATCTTTTTTAAATAATAAAAGTTAAAAGAAATTTGTTTCTAAAAAAACAAAAACTGTCTGACGTTTAGCTTTAACTTTAGTGTATTGATTTTTTATGAAATAAAATTACTCATGTAAAATGTTTAGAATAAAAGTTATTTAAAGCTAGAAAAGTTATTACATAGAGATGTTTTAACAACGAAAACAACTTTACACAAATGGAAATAATTTTAAAATTGAAAACAAAATGGTGAAAATGAAAATATTGTAACTATATTGTTAATAGGTATTATTTCCTAGTTTTTTTTTTTTCATCACTTAACCTTTATATTTAAACTCAAGTATTCCTTTCAATAAATATATACTTAAAATCTCTTCTTCGAAAAACTCTTGTAATAGATATCATTACTCTTAAAATAGATTCAAACTGCATAATAAATAATTATTAATGTGATATAAATATTTCCAATGATTTCTCAGGAGCAAGTTTATAATTATAAATGCAGCATTTAAATGAGCCTTAAAGTTTCATTTTTTACCAAATAATATAAATCACATAACTATTCATTTGATTAGAAGATGAATTGTTTTTTGCTTTATATAGCCAAATAGGTTGTCCCGATGAGGATAAGATGAGTGGCAATCACCCTCACTCCTTAATAATAATCATTCACTCTGCATAAAATGTGAGAGGACACTGGGTCTTGGAGCTTTTAATAGTCCAGTCGACTTTTTCAATATTTTCGCCTTTTTTCAAATGATCCATCTCCAATCTTTTTCTTTCTAAACTTTTGAAGATAAAAACCTAGCATGATGATGAAATTCAGATAAAATAGCCTCTAGTTGGCCAACTTATGGATATCAGCTTTGTATATTAAATTAAATAACTTATTAGAGTTATGAAACTTAGTATTGCTGTCTTAAAACAACAAAAGTCTTTTGCCAACTTGGGTATTATCTTAACTTAAGAGTCCTCAGTAATCTTCCACCATAACCTTGAAGAATAACTATCTTTTTTCCCACATAAATATGTTTACACTGCTATTTGCATGAAGTAATTGAGTAAATTAAAAGATTTTAATATGTACTTATTTCGAAATTAAATTTCTAAATAATAGGTGTCATAATTAAGTTTTCTAAAAAAGTAACTCAAAACTTAATTTTCAGTTACAATAATTGGATTAGTTTAAAAAAACTGAGTTAGAAATTTTATCATTTATCTTAAATATAAACAATCATAAATTTTAACATAAATGATAAGGTGATATATCATAAGTTTTTTTAGTTTAGATTTTAATTCTGATTAGGAGTTTTTCTTCAGACACAAGAGAGTAATTGGCTGACATCAAATGTTACATAAAAAATAGCTAATGTTTATACTATTTTTAAGAACGATTTCAAACCTAATTTATCATAAATGATAGATGCAATGGTAATATATATTATTTGTTTAATTAAAATAATTATAAAACATTCAAAAAACAACATAATTTAGATAAATACAAACTACACTTGTGAAAAGACATTTTTAATATTTTAACAATGAGATATAATTTAAAAATTCCACACACAAATTACATTAACATTATCATGTCTTGAAGCATAAAATTAATGCAAAAGCAATTTAACAAATTATATTTGAATTTTAACACAAAAATAAACACACACAACTATACCAGAACAACAACCATAACAAATGCCATATTCACAAGACTAAATAATCTCACCAAATCCGACATATGTATTTTAATATAAAAAGTGAGAAAAAAATAATACAAAAAAAAAAATAAAGACTTTGATAGTTTTACCTTTTGCAATCTTTGTTATGAAGTGGATTAGAGCTTGGCACATTTTCACAAAGTAAATTATCAAGATTGTAAATATCCGTAAATAGAAAATCATTCTGAGCCATTTCTTCTGCATGCTGATAAATTTTTTCCCTAAAAGAAGTAGGTTATTTACATTTTTATAAGAGACACAAATCAAATTAGGAAATCTGATTATCAAGAATGGAATATCTATAAAAATTTGGTTTTAATAAAATTATGTTACAAGTATGTAATTACATTAAAATTTATATTAGGATAAAATTAATAATAAGATATTCACATATTTTAAGTTAATAGCTGTGTAGCCGTATAGTTTCAGGGGTCTTTTCCAGGAGTTTTTAAATTGTAAAGACATACAAGATTATGCTCAACACTGTAAAATTACAATTAAAAAAATTAAATTAAAAAAAATAAACAGCAAATGCAGTTACTAAATTAGCGATGCAACATACAAATATTTGGTATTTAGCCTATACTGCTGAACGCAGAATATTCATTTCGGACAAATAAAGGAAGAAGCATCTGCTGAAGACAAAATTTAGTTCGTTTACATCTGTCTTTATTCCCCCCCTTCTTGGGAAGGGTTTATTCGATTAACAAAACAATAATGAAGATAAACAAATTTGTGAAGGGTCCGATTAAAGGATAAATTATTTTGTGAAGGGTCCGTTTTTAAGTTAAAATGTTTTGTGAAGGATCCGTTTTCAAGAAAAGATATTTTGTGAAGAGTCTGCTAACGAACCCAAATTTCTTCTAAACAGACCCCAGAGTTTAAAGAGCAAATATTTAGCATTACTAAACTCAATACACCAACAATATTTAACGTAATATATTTAATCTATCTTAACTATGGTGGGATATGCTTTCAAATAATACTCTAGATTTTTTTTTAAAGATTAAGGTTAAGAATATAACTTTTAGTCAGCAATTTATAATTAAAAAAAGATACAACTAAAATTACAGAAATCCCAATTCTTCAATACAATTCAATGAAGGTTAAACACATATTGATAAAAGCTACAATATCAAGAAGAAAAAAAAATGTACTGTGAATGAAAAAATAAGCCCACACTAAAGAAATGAGATATATGTTAAATCTATAAAATTTTAGCTGTACAATTCTATACATTCAGAGTAGTAAAGGAATTGATACTGTAGGATGTACAATTCACTAATCTATTTTGTGTAAGCAAAGAGATTCTTTTCGAACAGTACTATTGTAAAAATTTTAATTTTGCAAGTACTTATGCTATTACCCTTTAGATGCCTTAATCATATATTTACTTTCAGAGGTTCTTAATATTGATCGACTCTTTCGAAATTAACAGAGCGCGATTTTCAAATAAAAGGATTAAGTGTCATAACAAATAGTCATTAAACTAGAAATTAAGTCCAATTTAGGGACACTGTTTTTTTCCTTTGATCAATGTAATTTTACAAAGTATTTTTTTAAGTTCTAAGAATAAACTAGATAATGAGAAACTGAACTGAAGAGGAAGAACTGAAAGAGAATATATACAGTTTAAGTTAATAAAAAAAAGAATATAATACAACAAAAATTACTTGATAAAGACTGAATATTTCCAAACATAGGCCGAGAATTTTTGGAAAATTTTTTAGAGTTAAAGTGAGAGATTCAGTTTGCAATCGGATCTATTTATTTTCAAGGAAACACTATCAAGCTAAACTCATAGAATTAAATGAAACTTTTACAAGTTTTAAATAAATCATACCCACAAGGGGATTGCATTGGGAGAAAAGCAAAATAATACTGAAAAATGGGTAAAGGGTCAATACTTGGAGAATTTTCAAAACTCGAATCTTTTCCTCTTAGAGAACGTGTTTTTAAGAGACTGTTTGAGCAATTTTTTTTACCAATAATTCCATATTTCTTTTTGAAATTTTGAAGCTATTTTCTTGAAGCTTTATGAGGTATTTGTATTTCTAATGCTTTTTCATAAGTATAGTTTTTCAAGTCTGACACACAGGCATCACAATGTGAATCTTCACAGGAATCTACACAGGCAACACAATGTGAAAAAATGTCAATGCTATGTTGTGCAAAAAAGCTAATTCCTATTTTGTGAAAACAAGGTCTTAGATGCATTCTTGAAACTGGGCTTTTAACTTTCTCATAAAACTGGTGAAAGAGAGTCTGGACAAGAGGAATAAGTTTCTAGCACTTCTGCAGAGTAAAGCCTGGCTTTCAACAAATTTAAACTAAGCATTTTTTTTTTCTTTTTTCTTTTGCACAAAGAAGGGTAGTCTTATATTGCATTGCTTGTGAAATTGGCACTGCATAAGCTCAAAGGATTGAATAATCTTCCATACGCTTCAAATTTAGCATTTTTAAGATTATTTTGCCTTTGAAATGGAAAAATTTGCTGAAGAAACACGTTTTAAGGACATTGAAGACATCACGAAAACTGTAACGTCAGAACATTCCAAAAGTTTACAAAAACTTTCACAGTTGAATACAGAAAAGCATTACAGTAGGTAGATTATTTCAAATTACTCAAAATATATGAAATGAGTATATAATCTACATACACACCCTATTTCCAAAATAATTTTATCAGTCATGGAAATTAATAGCTGCACCTTGTCCAAAAAGAAAAATTGGTATAAATCTAGGTTCAGAAATAATTTTTTCTTCATTCATACACTGAATTTTTTTAAAACCGCTTAAAATAATTAATTACCTTATAAGAAAAGGATCTGGTTTGAAAAATGGATAGTCTAATTCAGAATCAGGTGAACAGTTTACATAATCAGGGTAAGCAAGTTTCACATGAGGTGAAACTGAAGTTGTAAGCAGAGACTGTTTTTGATAGACATCAGAATAACAAACTTTGTCCAGAAGTTTTTTATTTTTAATCTCTTCTTTCGCATTCTCAATTAAAGTGAATCTTTCTAAGTCTGTTAAATGATAACTGCTATCACAAGTTATGTTAGAGGACGGTATAACATTAGTATCACAGCTTGGACTAGAAAAATCAGTTTTCTTTGGAATTTTTGAACAGTTTGTTGGCCCACAAGATGAAACTGGAATCAAAGACAAAGTTTTTGGTGACTTTTCCTTCATGTGAAGAGATGAATCACTAGCAGGTTTGCGCATTTTACGTTGAGTTTCTTTTCTAGAAACTTGTACAAAGGAATGTCGTGGAATATTTTTTGGAATGATTGGATTCAGCTTTGTGTCATTAAACTCGATTACAGTTGATGGAACAAATTTTTCATAAAACACAGTTTTGAAACAATTATTTTGTACATCATCCCCAGAAGTAAAATGAGGCTAAAATGAAAAGAGTATAATTAGGTAATATATAATTAAGACTATCAACATACAGTGCATAATATTTAAACTGAACACAATAATAATTTTTTTTATAGTTTTTGTGGTTTTAATAGAATTGTTAAATACTTTTAAATGAGCGATGTTATTGCAGAGCTTTAAAGCTTATACTTATTCACAAATCCTTTAAAGCAATACTTATCCGCAAACATACATGACTATTGACGGTAAATAGATTATTACATCAAAATGACAGAAATTTTTAATTGTATAAACACAGATTTAGTTTCTTACTCTAATGAGATAAAATTAAGTCCAATAATTTTGCTCGGCTACAATTACGATTGCTTCCACAATTTGTGGTTTTAAATTCTCATTCAATTTTTAGTTCTTATGAATCCTCATTCACTATTTTTCGTCAAGCAGAATATTTAGCAATAGTGTGATAAGTTAAGTCTTAATATTGCTTTAGAGTTTTAAATATGTATTTTGTATTTCATATTTCAATTGCATATATTGTCTGGGTACAATTTTACATAATATTTATAATAAAAATAAATATAACTTATTAAAAGGCAAATTTACTGTTTAATAATTGTAAAACAGGAACATAAGATTTTTGTCCTATAATGTTGCATAATAAAGCAATACCATATATAACTGTTTGATAATGCAATATAGGGACAGAAATTTTACTTTCAATCCTTTTCTTTTGAACAACACCATCAAATACATTATAACAAAGAGTATTGTTAGGAAGGGATATTAAATAAATACTACAAGTAAATACCACTAATACAGTTATATGCTTTTATGTTGAGAACAGTCAAATATATATGTTACTTCTTTGTTTCTCTGTGATATGTTACTCTTTTATCCAATGAAATTGCACAATCAATAAAGATATTAATTATTTTATCATGATGTACCGAGAGTAAAATAAAAGGAATATCTAATATAATATGTGCCTCCTGTACACTAGAGCAAGCAGAGAATACTGACTCGCCAAGAGTTTATAAGTTACACCATATTTTTCAACTGCTCTCTTTTTAAAAATTTCAGTTGATATGAAATAAATCAAGCACACTAAACATAATGTCATCCTCTTTATTTCAAATTGTTCAATCTTACAAGCCCTCTTTAAGTTCATACATCTCAATTAGCTTTTAGACCTATTGTTTTTAATCAATTTACCTTGTGCTATAAACTTGCTTGTATTACATCATTTCTACTTCTAGCAATATCCATACTGTAAAAAATTCTCAGGATTTTGTTTCCCAACTGACTTATTTTCCCACTCTAAAAATACTATGCTCTCACTTTTGTTTCCTTTTTCACAAATGTATCTGTTTGCAGTACAATTGCTTAAAGGGATTTAACTATTATTTTATTAAAATTGAGGATATTACTACATTGCTTAATACCTGTGTCGAACAAATTACATTTAAGTTTAATGGTAAATTCGACAAACAAAATTGAGTTATTATCAAGATGCAAATTCCTCTCTCCTTTACATTTGTGAAATTTTTGTGCATTATTTCAAACAAGTATTTAAAAGAAATTAAATTCTCATGTTAATGTTTATACTCTTATGTCAACTCTCACGAGTTTTATTTCATTCATATAAATACCGATTTCCTTGTAAATGCTATCATTTCTGTCTCCTTGCCACACTCCACATGGAAATGTATTTTACATGGTTCGCCTCTTTTGGCCACTACAATCGTTTTAAGTGGCTCTATATTTGAGATCTCAAAGCATGTTAACTTCTTTCTACTTCAGTTGTGATGCAAATGATGTTTAAAACAAAAGAAAAAGTATAGCAATAGCAACATAAAAAAATTCCATAAACAATAAAAATTCATTAATAGTGTAAATTTGTAACTAAACTTTCTGTTAGACTAATCTTTTTTTTAAGAAAAAAGTTACCACATAATTTTTTTTTCAAAACTTAGGAATTCTTAATTGAATAAAAATTACAAAACTAAACAAAGCGTTTAGGTTAAAAGCAATGGGCATTACACAAATTAAAAGAATGTTACAACATGTAGATGATGAAGAATGAATGACGATGTAGATGTAAAAGATGTAGAATGAATAACGTTCTGGTAGTCCCTTTAACATTTAGAAATGACCTTGTGATTAATCAAATAAGAACCTGATGACCAAATAACTGTCAAACAATTTGCTGATAAGAAAAACATTAGTATCGTACCCACTCATTTCATTTTGCTCATGTTTCGGATAATCGATCAGGAAGAAAAACATTTATAGATCATATAGGATGATTGGGAGACTAGAACATTCCAATTTGAGAGTCCTAAGGCTTTAGATAAAATTTATTATAGCAATATTGCTTAAATTTTTCGACCATTATGCCTCAATAAAATATAATACAGAACCTCCAACAAATCGCTATGCCCCACCTGTCAAATTTAGCTTATTTTGCAAATGCAAATTATAGTTTGATACTTTTTGAACAGACCCTGCATTTGCTAAAATTAGGAATTATTTTAAAAAATATACCTTTAATGGATGGAATTCATTAATTTCTTCAAAAAATGAAGAGAACTGCTCATATGATTCCCCATATTGGGATTCAACAACATCAAAAGGTCGAAGTTCCTGCAATTAATAAAAATAACAGAAATAGCTGTAAAAAATAATAATATACAAAACCTATTGATTGAAATATGAAAATTAATAAAATTTACAGCAATATTAACACTGTTTAAATAAGGAAAAAAAGTTAAAATATGATTATCATTAAAGCAGAGTTTAAATAGTTGATTAAGAGTCATTTAAAAGAGTTAATAATCACTTTAAGCTAATAAATGCATTATACAAAAAAAATTCATACTTCATCTGAATCAGTTCCGCTATCGACAGAAGATAAATTAGAAGAACCTAAACTAACAGTGTCATCATTTTTACCATCTGAAATGCAAAAATAAATAAAATTAGAAATAATAAAAGAAAATAATAGCTGCATATACAATAATGATAAAATATCTGTTAATGAATTTCATATCAAATCAATTTTCATTCACCCAAATTTCAGTACATACATTAGAGAATATTTTCTGTTATAGTTTTTTCGTAAGTACAGAGCCCAAAAAATAAACGGACAACCCTGAAAACCTAATTAACAGATTGATCTAATAAATAGATCTTCTTCCAGATTGGGGCATCCCAGACCAAATATCTTAAGGATCAAAAATCTGAATACATCAAAAAAAAAAGGTATGTTCATTCAAAGAAAGTATGTTTCTGTATCTGATTTTGTTACTTAAAATAGTGTCTGAATAAATAAATTATTAAAGGTTACCCCCTCAAACCATTGAGATTAAGTCCTACAACGTGACAATCCTATGGCTGGATCAAAAGTTATTCAAAGTTTTTTTTTTTTGCACTGTACACAACATTTATTTGTATTTTAAATCAATAATTTACATTTTGCACATTTTAATTGAAATTTATATCTCTATTATTGCCCTTGAGATAATAAAATATCAACAAGTATATAAAAATATTCAAGAGAACTAGATAACATAGAAAATATTTATAATTCTGATAAAAATGCTAAACGACTGGAAATTTCAGGACATGGTGTAATACATATATTGGCTCAATTAAAAGAAACCGAAACAAATGATGCACGGAATCCCTCTAGATGGTTCAAATGCACAGCAAAAATTAAAAGCAAACATATTGTTAATACGATGAAGTGAAATAAAAGATTTCCAGCAATAAAAATTAAGGAAAAAATAAATAAAATTTGAAGGTAGAGAAAAAAAAGAACATCAGTTATATTTATCTAATAAGATCAAAATTTTACTGAATTTAATTTAAGAAACATAAATTTAATATTTCATATCAATATGAGCCAGAACTAGCACATTCTTTTTTACATCCGAGCTTACTTTAATAATGTAAGAAAACAGTAAATACAAAAGTTTATAAAACGTTTCAAGGTAGTATAGTGAAAAGCATGCAATAACTGATAGTGTTTAATAATTTTGATAATATTTCTCTGTCAATAATAATCTTTTGCATTTACTCCATCAATGGTTATGTGAGCTTAATGCTTCCTTGCTTATACCTACTTCTTCTTTGGCAATAGTAATACTTATGATTTACACTTAAAATACATGTTCATATAGATAAAATGCTGTTAATACAATTTTTATCAGAAATACTAATAACAGGTATATTAATATGCCAGGAAAGGGAATGTAAAAAGTGTGAGAATTTTCTCACTCAGATTTTTATATCAGGGGTCTGTCTAGGTTTTACTGAGAGGTACCTATTTTGTGAAAATTTAGACATAATATGTGAAAAATTAAAAATGATATTAAAANTAAACATATATATATATATATATATTAGATTGGTTAAATATTAAATTTGATTTCAAGGTCAACATAATGATAGGATTATTTGAAATATCAATGTTATACAGTATTTACATAACAAATCTTTCATCATTTTGAATTTTCATATTGCAATTTCTTTTAATAGCTAATTATTTTAGTACCAATTTTTAAAGACATTGGTATAATAATGTACATGATGTAAATAAAATAAAATCTGATGAAAAATAATATTTGAAACTCAGCAATAATAATCAAAATTCGGGAAATAAAAATTATTATGATCTAATGAAGAAAAAAATTATTACCAGAGCTGTCAGACTCATTCATATAAAAGCATTCAGAAAAGGTAAAAGTGACAGGGTTGTTGAGTTTTCGCACAGGTAAAGGTCGAGCTGGTAAACATCGTTGGACAACAGTACTAACAAGTGATACCAATGAAATATAATGATTTCCAGTGAGATTCACAAGCGTTTTACACCATGATAATAGGGAAGGAATTGTTCCTGATGATAACAGTTTTTCACGCCCAAGCTCTAGAAAAAAAATTCGTAATATGAATAAAGATAAAACAAATTCAAATGAAAGGGAATCATATATTAGTTTTTCTTAACTCCTGTTCAATTAAGTTTTATTTTTAGATAAAAGATTGTATTTTATTTCAACAATAATATATTAAAAAAATTAATTTAAAAAAATAATTTTTTTTTAGTCCAATTGCATTCAGATAATTATCTGAATATTATTTGAATCATCCTTCTAAATATTTTTGCAAAAAGAAACAGTATAAAAATGAGACAAAAACTAAAAGAAATGTTGCTTAGCAGTAAAAGAGCACAAAAACAACAATGAAAAAGAAAGTTAATGTAAATAAAGTTTTGCCACAATAGATTTTTAAAAAATCATGTTAATCCATAAAAGCTGTGAAATTAATACACATTAGACTTGAATGGAATATAAATAAACTTTGAAAATATCTTAAACTTTTTAATCATAAAAATGACAACAACTGAATAAAAAATACATAGTTGCTTCCTTAACTTTTAATAAAAACCTCAAAATAATTATAGACATTAAAAATGCATACTTATCTGTGTTAGATGTACTAAAATACGTAGGCATATTTTACAGATTGAAGCATTAACTTTTGAGCAACTTGTAACATCAGTACCAAATATAATTAGCAGAATACGAGATACAACATCCTCTTTAACAAATTGGCGAGCAGAGTGTCCTAAAAAGAATGTTCATACATTTTAATCAAATCTCACATATCATATGTAAGTCTGACAAAGGTCAAATTTAATAAAAACTTCAACATCCTAAATTATTACTAATTAAAATTTTTTTAGAAGAACTTAAACAAAATCAAATAAAAAAAACAATTTTAACTAAATCAAATCAAAAATAAATTAAAACGAACTGTTTCATACATCATTTGAAGTTGTTACATGCGAAGACATGGCAAAATTATAATTACTAATGGTAATAACAAATTTCATATTCAGTACAATTTTATTAAATGACTAGCTTTATATCAATACATATCAATTGAAATATTTTATTTCAACTGGCTTACCACAATTCTAAAACTCAAAGTGCATATTGCAAAAAAAGGAAAATCCTGAATAACTAATGATCCCATTTTCAAGTACATACTGGGACTCAATGGTTCAAAGACCTATCTTTAAATATGCTAATTAATTAGTACAGATGATGTTACAAAAACATACTTCCTCTTCTGAGTAAGCATGCTTTTTTTTTAATAAATTCATATTCTTGACCATCAAAATATGGAGATAGCCACCATCTGAAAAATATGGTCACTATAGTTTTGACAAAGGAGCAGTTGAATGTTTAAATCCCTTAATGTTAATTTCACTTTTTTTAAATTTTGCCATCTCAAAAAAAAAAATTCATATTTTTAAATTTTTATTTCTCAAGAACTAAATATGAAGGGAATGATACCATTCATATTTAGGGTTTCCCCATTTACATAGATTAATATAGTGTAAAAATTTGTTTACTTAAAAGTTTAATTTTTGTTTTTAGCATGGAGCTATTTTTGGATAAGTTTAATTTATAATCTCGTAGAAAAACATTTTATTCGCTTTTTAGCCTAAGAGATAATACGCTACAAGTGAAATTCAGAATTAGTTGCATTTTAAGACACAACAGGTTATTTAATAAAACTAGGTTCAAACTTTCGACCACTCTCTTTATTGAAATCATATTAAAGATTGAGGGTCAAAAATTCAAATACGTCAACCACAAAAAAAATTAATAAAAATTATAATAATATATATATATATATAAGTAGGATGATGTTGATGATCATTGATTAAGTCACTCAAAATCAATAACAATCACACTTATCCTTTAATAATTCATAAAGCTTTAACATTGAATCATGAGTCACACAGACTCATTCTCATACTACCACACAGGTTAGTTAAACACTTACAACTTCTTTAAACACAAGTCACAAAGACTCAAACTTTAACCATCTAGGTTTTCCTTTACATTTTCAAGAACTACTCTTCTTTCCAATCGATATAGTTCTAATAGTTTTATTCAGGACAGCAATATCTATCGGACTCACGCAGAGGTTGTTTCGTCTCGTTTATCACACACATATATATGCATATATATATATGCATATATATATATGCACATATATAGATGCATTTCAGAGAAAGTAGGTGTTTGAGTCAGATTTCATAACTTAAAGTACTATTATCATAATTTTAGTTATGAAATCTGACTCTTTAATAATTAATTAAATTAATAAGCATATTTAAGTGTAATGAATTAATATGCATCTTTAATCATTAATTAATAAGCCTATTTAAGTTTAGGCCATTGAATATACAGTATGTTTTGGTATGTGAAAATCTGATCATTAGTTCAAAAAATGTATAGGCTGTTTTTTTTATTGCAAACTGCACACAAAGCAATGCATTTTTTCCCTAATGCAAATTTTAAAAATCATAGAGAAAGTTTAAAAATTAGTTAAGTTCTAAAAATAAATAATTTGTTATGCATAAATTAAATAGTTAAAATGATAAAATTAAAATTATCTAATTAAAAATATTATGCTGCATTATGCACAGAAACATACTAACTAGTTCTAGTGGCTTCAGAAATAGCATTAAGAACTGGAATAATTGTGACTTTTTTTGGCTCTTCTAAAAAATGTATAAGTTCTCTAGGCAATCCATCTTTACTTAACTTCGTAGCATTAACAGCTAAAAACATATATATTGAAATTAGAATCACAATCTACAAACATTGATTATTTAATATGTATTTCAACTTTTTTAATTTTTGTAGAAAAACATAACATAAAGAGTTCTTTTCATTTAAATAAATAAAAAAGTGAGAATTTTAATTTTACTGCAGCTTAAAAAAATGTCTCAAGCTTTTTTATAAATTTTTAACACACCGATTTAGTAGTTAGTGTATTTATAGTTGATTATACATTTTAATAGTGTCACATATGAAAAATATATTTTTAGAAAAAAGTAGCATTAAAGGATATTTCCCTTTCCATTGATAATAGTTACAGAAATAATATTTTACTCCAGCTAAAAGGGAAATTTCAACTAAACACTTTTTTCTTCTTTTCCAAACTTTTTTTTAGCTATCTTATAAATTTTATGTGAGTAAAAAATTGTTAAATTATAAAATTATTGCAATATAAAAATTTAAATACAATTAAGAAATGTATTTTTTGTGCTACAATTCAGTTTTAAACACATTTGGTGAATTAATTAGAATTACAACTATTTTAACTAAAGTAATATAGAAAAGCACACTCACAACTTGCCATAATCTTTTTAAGTAGTTTCATAATTGTATTAAGAACTTTTAGTTTCCTTGAATATGCCTTTATATGGGAAACTATCACAGGTAGTACACCTAGAAATCTCGCTTTTACTGCAAACTTCTTATCTAAAATAAAGCAAAAAAATTTTTTTAAATAACAGTAATTGAAAACAGTAAGCAATTTTTTTATATATGTTTTGATCAATTTATACATCAATGTCAATTAGATAAAAAATTGCACAAAAAATAAAAAATAAGACAAAAAGTAAAAATAGATAAAAATTAAAAAATAAAAATCTTTTCTCCTTTAAAAAATAATAAAATAAGAGAAAATAAGAATGATTTTAAAATGCATTCTATGTTTTTTTACTTAATTTTTTATTCCATTAAAATGTATTTAAATAAGTATTTTTAAAAAAAGCTTATTAAGACATACATATCTTTGTAATAAAATTTCCATCTCATTATTACCTTTACATGAGCCCAGTGGCAGAATGTTTTCGGGCTTTCTGCGACAAAACTCTCTAGCACTAATATCTTTCTGCAATGTACATTCAATAATACCAAAGATGAATGTTACTAATTAAAGGTAATTAAAGCGCTGTGTTAAAAAAAAAATGTATGGGCAATATTCTAATATTATGGGCAATATTCTCGCATATTGTTGGAGGGCGCACTAATTATTTCCTTTATTGCATTTTGCAAATCACCAGCACATTAAAAAAATAATTCAACATAATGAAATCTGTAGCAGTAATAAACAAAAAACAGATCGATGAAATCACGCGAATCGGACTCTTCAGAAAGGTGTTAATCAAATTCAATGTTTCATTTTCAGATTTGATTGTTGAAAAATATCGGGTTTTAAGAACAATGTGGAAATCAAAAGCAATAAATGCCCAAAAAATTGATAAAATGATTGCCTTAAAAAGTAAATGATCAAATGCGCAATTCGAATTTCCCATATCACCTACCTGAAATACATCCGGACATCTAAACGCCACGTAAAAATCAATGTCAATAACTGATGAAAATACAATCAAAATGGATTAACGATAACGGCATTAATTGAGGGCTTCAAAAAGTGATTATTTAAATGCGCGATTCGAATATTGCGTGGAAATTTCTGATGAAAAACAAACCAAAATTTTTTACTTCTCTAAAGAAAAATCTTTCTGCAAGAACTCTGTTAAGTTCTGCGACAATGTCGCAATGTCGCCGCGATTCTGCCACGGGGTACATGAGCATTTCTTGAAAATATTGTACGTTTTAATTTTGATTACTTAAAGTGCAATTTAAATATTTCACTGCATTACACAGTTTATGTTTGCAATAAAATGTTAGTTTTTCAGCAAATATATGATTAAAATTCAGATTTTTTAGTAACATGTGATTTTTTTCTGTACAAAATTAAAGATATTTTACAGATTTTTTCAATTTTTTCTCCATAATGTTAAATTCCCAACAAAACCCGACAGTTACGAAATAAAATTGCTCACATCTCTCAAATAAATAATTGATGCTAAAACAGTAGACAAAGCTATCAGCTAGTAGACAATCAAATTATTTTGGTCGGTTAAAATTTTTTAATAAAAGATTATTTGAGATTTTTAAGGTTATCTCAAAACTCCATAGGCAATTTTCGGCAGTGTTACATATATACAACCTCAAATATTTATCTCTCATTAATATTTGCATGAATATTTTTGAAAGCAATTTACAATATCAATTCTGCAGTGGAATGATAGTAAAGAACACCAGAACACCAAAGTCAAGCATCACTGGCTGGGGCCAGTAAGCGGGTGGGTGACCACTTCGATCAGCCTGTGTAGGATCCAAGGATGTGCAGTATTGGTCCTTGTTAAACTGTTCTACTGTAAAATGCTCGACTTTGGATGCAGGTCACCAGGCTACCAAAGCAGGGGAGCCATCCCTTTCGCAGAGGATCAAAATTGTGATGGTATTTCTTCTGATCATCCTCAGCGATGTTTCCCAGACTGTTACCAATAACCCATTGTGCAGCTCTAGCGCGACATAAATAAAGTACCTACCTCAATACCAATTACAACAACAAGCATTGAAATTTATATTGTTTTGCTTTAATTTTGCCATTTCAAAATTGTAAATAATCTTGTAAAACAGTAATTAACAGGATCTGAATTGCTGTTCGCAGTTCTAAACCTTGCAAGATTGCTTGCCTTTTTGCCTAAAATTTACGCCTTCAGAATTAGCAAGGTTTTAGACTAAATGATAAAAGCCATGGTAAGAACTCTGGTTTTTACCATTCTGCCTAAAGCTCTACTGTTCATATTGTAAAAGTTCATCTAGGCAATAATAAATTATTAAAAAATTCACAATAAACTGAATATTTAAAAACATAATTCAATATTTTCAGATAAAAATTTTTTTTTCGAAATTCATTGCATAGCTTTTAAACTCTTTATCTTGATAAAGAGTTTAAACAAAAAATAAGATTGTTTTTGTACATTAAACTTAGTAACATAATTTACTTTTTACCCATTACACATACAGTTAAAAATTTCTTTTTAATTATTTTGATTTTCAAAATAAGATAAGAAATTATTTAAATTTATATCAATTGTTGCTTCCAAAACTTACAAATTAGACTTTTGCAAATATTTTACAGGAGATGAACTATCTCAATATGGAAGAAAAATTAAAAATAAGCACTAATGTATTAAAAAAATAATTATAAATGAAGCATTTATCTATGCTTAGAAATAAAAACAGTATCAAATATATATTTCGCAAAAAAATATTTTTAAGAAAAACTTTTTTCTTGAAATGTACCTTCATCGCCAATTTTCACAGTCACTTTGTAAAGGGAACATATGAAATCATCTCCCCATGACAGTTGACATTTAACAATCAGTTTCAACAAGTGATCAGTGGCATTATGAAGAACAAAAGCTTGAGCATGTTCGGTACCTCCTAAAATTACATTTTACCAGTTATAAACTAAATTTTTTATTTTTCTTATTTAATTATTTTAATTAGTATTATGCAGAAAAAATTAAAAAGCATACTTGTTTTGTGCAATAACATTTTCTCCATAATCAATATAACAAAATGTCGAATGTGCTGATCTTGTGTTTTCTGGAAGAAAAATTGATTTGTAATTGACAATTTCAGAACAAATACATTAACAATAAATATTAGATTCAAAATACTTCTTTCCTGAAATCTGAAGGTGACATTATGAAATTTAAAAAATTGATAGTGTGTAACTGAAAATTACATAAACGGATTTAACGGAGGAAACTAAATATTAACACTTTTTACTAATAACTGTAGGAGGTTAATTTTTCTAATACATTTATCTTTGTCTGATTAGAATTTTTCAGCATTGTATCAACTTAAAAAAAATAACTTTTCCCTCCGAAAGCGAGTGTGAGTTTACTATAATGTGAACAAATAAATTAAATACATCGGAATGTATTTAATGAATGACGTGATGCAATAAAAAAATTTTATTCTTGATATTTTTATTGAAATTTTTTTTTTCCTTTTATAATAAATTACTACCACAAGCATGGAAAGTTGACTTAGGGGCCATTCAAATAAAACATAATCATATTTTTGGTAAATTTCAGCACCTCACTATGTAAGATGTCAGAAAAATAAACAAATTACTAATGCCTCCCCAAACTTAAGATTTGAGGAGAAAAATATATTTTCTCTCAAATTTAATTTTATTCAAGCAAATTATGTAAAAAAAATTGCTATTTCTTTTCCTTTTTGATGAATGAGATTTACTGTCGTACGTAAACGTTAGTCCTACTTTTTTCATCCTAAATAAATAAACGAATCGTCAATCTCTTTCCGCATCTAGGTGTTCATGTACATTTCAATGATCCCTGAATTCTTTAGAAAGCTAGAACATTCAAAGATAGGAAAGGAGAAACTTTAATATCTTATTTTTTACAATTAGCATATAGATTTTTTATATTTTTTTAAGTCTAGCTAATTCAATTATAAATAATAATAAAAAATATTTTGTAATTAAAAAAATTTAAAGAAATTTTTTTAAAATTAAATACATTTTATTTGAAAGCCTTGTTTTACAAACTTAATTCATTTTTGAAGGATGTAGTTTCTTATTCTGACGCCCGGTGGCCGAGTGGTAGCGCTTTGCGCTCCTGTGCCACAGGTCCTGGGTTCGAGCCTCGGGCCGGGCAAGGTAGACTCAGCCTTTCATCCCTTCAGTGGGTCGATAAATGAGTACCAAGCATGATTGGGAACTAAATACTGGGGGTTTCGCGTTCGGCTGACCACCTAACCGGAACATCTGCTCCTGCACCCCAGAGCCCAAGGTCAAGAAAACTGAGATGGACACAGTCAGCCTTGACCCTATATGGGCTGTCACGCCACTGAGTTTAGTTTTTTAGTTTCTTACTCAAACAATATAAATGACAGCATGTAAATCAAAAGGAAAAAGTGAACAATACTAAAGTTTTCATTGATGTATTAAAGTTCCTATATCTACAGTCTAGAGATAATTATGGCAAGTTGCTTTATTATTATCCCGTTTATTTCCACTATCATTGCCTTGCTAAAGCAATAATAGTGGAATCAGTTACCACACTTGGCAAAGTATGTGTCAAACAGAGCAGCTGAGCTAGACTTTGTGGGACATTTGGCAAAACTTTTTACAACATCCTTTAAATTTATTTTTCTTTTAAGAGCATCTCCACCCAATAACTACCCAAAAACCAAATAGATTTTTTCCAAAGTTATGGAAACAGATTGTGCAATAATTTTTTGAAATTTAATTCCAAAGAACAAAACACACATAATTTTTTTTTTCGAATAATTTTTTTAGATAGGTGTTCAATTTTAATCAAAGATTATATCAGGTGAAGACTCTCCAGCAATGAATTTTTCAGTTAAGATTTACGCTTATTATTAAATATGTTCAAACAAATCTTATTTTGTAGTTTTAATATGATTTTGATTTCTAGGAATAGCTTTATTATGCCTACAAAAGACATGCCTATGTTTTCATCTATGTGAATAGATAAAAAACGAGTTTTTGAATTTTTAATTTAATATCTGGTAATAATAAATCTTAATAATCAATGTATGGAAAAACAATTTCATAAGCACAATTACTAAAAATATTATGTGTTAAAAAGTAAAGATTTAAACATGTTTTACTTCTAATATGGTAACTAAAAGTGGTATGCCTCCTGTGCAATTGGACACAAAATGCTTCATGGCACTTTCTAAAAAAATTTAAAAAAAGGAAGAAAATTCAGAAGAAATATTTCTAAATTCCATAAAATGTTAGTTTGATAAAGGTAAAAATACATGATAGATAGAGGAACAATTTCTTTTTTCTTTTCCTTTTTTGTGTTTATAATATAAAACAACAGAACTTCATATATATATACACTTCTGAAGTTATAAAATGATTCTATATATATATAGAATCATTTTATAACTTCAGAAGTATTTAGAAAACGCGATTTCTCATACTTATCAATGAAGTTTAAAGCTTTTAGAGGTTTTAGGGAATGATTACAAACTGAAAATAGTGTTTATGCAAACAAATTTAGCAATAAATGTGTAACAATTATTTCAGTTATTATATGCCCAAAATTTCAGAAACCTAGCTTAAATATTTATGGAGATATGGACATTTTTATAAAAACTAAGTTTTCTTTGCTTAGATTTTTTTTATTATTTTTCTTTATTATAACTTATAATAAAATATTTGATAAAATTGAACAAAATTTTAAGAGCAATTTAGAATTAGTTACAAAATTCATTTAAAACTGTGCAAGATATGAGTAATTAATGTAGTTCTTTTGTACTGCGCATTTGTGGGAAAAATTTAAAAAAAAGTTTTTTTTTCTTCTTAATTTTGTAGGGAATTAATTGTATTTGGCAACTAATAAAAAAAATTCCATTTGATTTTTTTAAAAATTTCAAAAGTTTCCAGCAATTTTCTAAGTAGTTTTTGTACTTTTTAAAAGAACCTCAAAATAAGGGGTTTTCTACAAATATTATTTTGTATCGTAAGACAAATTTAAATAACAAATGATAATGCCTTACAATAAACGTTTACACAACGAAATAAGATTATATAAAAAAATAACAGGTGTAGAAAAAGATACTTATATGGGGATGATCTCTAATAATGCCAGTGTCATTTTTAATAAATGTTATTTAATTGTACAAAATGAAATTTGTGGAAAACCCCTTATTAGTTTGAGTTTTTTTAAAAATATTACTTAGAAAATTGAAACTTTTGAGATTTTCAAGATATTCAAATTGAAATTTTTTTTTATTAGTTGCCAAATACGATATTAATCTCTACAATATTAAGAAAATAATTCAAAATTTTTCCCGCGCATGAGCAGTATAAAAGAACTACTTTAATTACTCATATTTTGGGCAGTTTTAAATGAATTTTTCTCAAATTTTAAAGCAATAATTTTGAGACCAATTTTAAATTGCTCTAAAATTTTTGTTTAATTCCATTGAATATTCTTAAAATTGTAGCAAAAAACTGTAAGACAAAATACTTTTTTTTCAAATAAAAATGTCCAAAAATATTTATGCTAGGTTTACGAAATTTTGTGCAACTATTGCATGTAATAACCAAACTAATTGTTACAAGTTACACATTTATTGCTAAAGTTTTTGGTATAGGGTGTTCAAAAACACTATTTTTCGTTTTTAATTTATTATTTATCCTTTAAACCACTAAAAGCTTTAAATTTCATTGATAAATACGGGAAATCGCAAGATTTAAACACTTCTAAAGTTATAAGTGTGTTCCCAGAAGTGTTTCCATTATTTTTCTACCTCCTGTGTGTGTATGTATATATATATATTTACATTTAGAACATATTTACATTACATTAGAAGATATTTGTAGATATATATTTATATATATATATTTTCAACTTCATTTAGAAACATTCCTTAGAATATTTTTCAAAAATTCTACTTCAACATTAGTACAGAGTACTTCTGAAGGTATCTTGATACATATTTTGGTGAGGATATACGAGGGCAGATCGAAGACTAACCTCTGATGAAGTAAATAAATAGCCTGCTTAGATTCAATAGATTTTTCATTGACATGAATGATACAGCTCCCTTCCATTTTTAAACGTAGTCCTCATTTTATATTTCTAAGAACTTGTCACTGCAATTTACTGACTTACCAAACCTTTTTGCATAAAACTCAGTCACCAGTAATTTGAGCCTACTTATCATAGCATTTTCATACACTAAATCATACTGCTGTTTGAAACTTATCCACTTAAAGGGTATGATTAAACATGTCCCTTTAGAATTAGCACAAAAGATCTTATTTTTGTCAAGCATTATGAAGGTGAGCATTAACATGCAGCAACACTTCAGTAGGGCGGGGATAGCCTGGCTGGCAGGACACTGGACTAATATTCACGAGAACGGGCGAATCCAGTCGGCCGAAAACTCCCTGTGAAGTAACTAGTGGCTGGTGCACGTTAAATCTGTCGGGTCACAAAGTCCTCCATGTTCCCAAAACAAATTATACCTCTGGGGTAACTGAAGATTGATCGTTCTCTGGTTCAAGTCAAAATTACGAACTGAGGATGAATGAACGGATGCATGAATGGGTCCACCGTATAAACGGGTGTGGCGTATGTATGTGGCAGAAGTCAAATTCTTGGCCATAGATAGCGCCACTAGAAAACAAGAGCAATCATGCCCCCTTTCAGTACATAATATACAATTCATGTTGAATACCTGCTGCTGACATCTTTCTTTTGCCCATCACTCATCACTCATTGTGTCTTGCATTAGGTAGAATACATTAGGTTTTCAATGGCAGCTCACATTTTGTAACTTTATAACATGCAAATACAGAAGATTACAATACTCCCATCAGGATGGTGAGAAACTTAACATTTCACAAATTGATTGATGAAAGAATGGTTGCCCTTAGCTTACTACTACAATTAGCACCAAACGATAACTGAGATTAGTTCCCAAATTGCCCTCAAGAGTTTTTTCTTCAAATTGTTTTTGAGCTTTTTCAGAAAATAGAGCAAGAAAAGAAATGTATTCAAAACACTTGTTTGGCAGTTAATAAAAGTTACATATTTATATTTCCATGACAATGATAAAATTTGAGTTTTATTTAACATTACATGTTAGTAAGAAAAACACCAAAATCAACTTAATTTGCAGTGCATAATCATAAGTATAAAAAAAAAAACTTCATTAAAAAAATATGAAGAAGAAAAAAAAACATAAATTGGTATTTGTAAAAACAACTAGAAAATTTTTTATATAAATATATAGATTGTAAATTATCTATTATATAAGATGTCCACTACAGTCCTGGACTCACTTGAACTTCTAAATGGTAACAACTTTAAACTTTAGTACAAAAGTGATGCTTAGTTATTGTAAAGTGGCAGATAAGATCTTTGANCAGCCGTCGATGATCCGCCGTGAGGGGAATCCTGTATAATGGCACCCTTGCACGCAATCCACGGCGTAGCAGACGACGACGAATTGACGAAGCCGACAATTGTACACCTGTAGCAGTAGACCAATGTGCTGCCAGCTGCCTGGAGGAAGCTGTGCGATCATTCACCGCCATGCGGAGCAGGTGTCGATCATCGCGCTCTGACGTCACCTTCTGTCGTCCAGTGCCTGTTTTTCGAGTTGTTCGGTGCTCGTCGGTCCATTGCTTCCAAACTCGCATCACTGTGGAACTGTTCCGCTGCATACGAGCTGCTATTGCGCGATAGGAAAATCCTCCTTCTGGAAGGCCGATTATCCTCCCTCGTTCAAACTCCGTAAGTTGCTTGAATTTCTTATTCTTCCGTCGTGGAGGCATACTCA